AATTATCATTTTCTTCACTTAGAAACTCATCGAATAAATACCCTTTGGTTTGAATTTCTATGTTTTTGGTTATTCTACTATAATTTAAAGATAACTAATTAGGTTTATGGATTATATATTGATATGTATGTAGGAGTAACATGAATCAGAATCAGTCAAATTTGTGACAGATTCATTTATTCTTTATCTTACTTCAGATCTTTGAGTTTCAGTGTTCCTCTATTTATTACGTTTCATTCTACAATGTTTACTGTTCCCTACTATTATTGATGTTATAATTACATTAACACTTTAGTTATTCATGGTATTCATTTCATCTTGTCACACAGATCTGATATAACAACTTAAACTAACACATAATTTCAGAAGGGGTTTGTGGAGATTTTAGAAATTTAATAGATTAAAGTCATGAGTCAATTGAAGCTAGACAATTGTGGAAAACCTGGATTTTTCCATGGTTTTCCATGGTGGTCTAGCTTCAGTTGACTCATGATTTCAATCTGTAACACATATTTGTTAAGCACTATATTCGTTATGACTGGTTGACTGTTTATATATATTCATGTTTTGTTGTTTTATACTGACATTTGGTACATAATTGGTAATTGAATAAAATCAACTTCTTTATTAGAACTTGTCACTAAAAGAAGACCATATCATGCTGTATCTTCTTCAAAAAGCTGTGTCATTTAGCATGAAATCTTGATTCAAGGTATTCTGTTAACTACCTCCAACCACCATCTTACCTCAACATAGTACATTCAATGTCGAGTCACCTAGACTAGTGGCCACATTGTAAATTGGTCGATAGGATTCGATTTGTACTAAGAACGACCTGATATACGTGACACTGATCAACACCAAGTGATTAATCAATTATAGATTCAAATTATCTTGATTATTACAAGTGCACTAAAATATTTACTCTGATACAAATAAATTTCTATTATGCTCTAGATACAAATGAAGGTTCACTTTTTCCTGTAATTAATCAAGAGTTTTTATTTGATACATAAAAGCCCTCTTTGTTAGGTTCCGTTTTTCTTTGTCCTACTTGCTTAAAGTGTTCATCATTTCGTATTAATCATTTGATGTAACCATATAGAATTCTTAGCACAAAGTATTTCGACACATTTCCGTTTCTTACTTCTTGGTCGATACTGACGATAACATAATGTGTGATCGCCAGTCAATCGACATTTAAACAATGTACACTCTTTTCCTTGTATATTACTAGCAACTACGTTATCTCTGATTGGATCTTTTTTTGTAATTTGTACAACAAAAGGTTTTACAATTTTCACAAACGCACCTGAATAGGTTATACAATTAATAGCTATATTGATGTATTAAAACAAACAAAAGATCAGATGATTTGTTGAAATTACTTGGTAGTAGGAACAGGTTACACACAGATGTTCAATCAGGCCGCTTACATTCATTTGTAGTTTAATCAAAGAAACAAGGAAACTGAAATATATTATAGATTTGAATAAATTTTTTTACATAAGGTCTATGAATTGAATGGAAAGAGTATGATAAATGCGAAAGGGTATCTTTAAGGTGGATAAAACGATAATTTATTAAGGCGAATGTAATTGGTGAAGAGATGTTTAAGCATATAAATAAACGATGTCACTTTAAATCATTGATAACTGTTTCTTTTTTGAACTGAAAAATGAGCTGCTATGGCAACTACCTCGCGCTTTTATTTCTAATGATCAGTTTGTTGCAAGACTGATAGGTCCTGGGTTCGAATAGCGCGAGGCAGGGTCGTGGATGCGCACTGCTGAGGAGTCCCATAATAGGACGAAGCGGCCGTTCAGTACTTCCAGGTTTTCCATGGCGACTCATCATCTCAACTGTTTAAATTTCTAATGATCAGTTTAGTAGAAATGTAATCGTCGATAATATGTCTACTATCAATTAAATATTGTGCTATCGCACTAATGAAAGCTCTATGACCATTTGAATCTCAAGTTCTTTGAAATGTTCTGAGAAATCAGATGTATTTTTCATTATAATTTCAATGTATTTGTCACTGAACTTTGAGTTGAACAAATGATTTTGATTGAAGCAACTATTTAGTAACTAAAATATCCAGTGAAACTATGACTTTCTTCAGCGTAATTGTTGATGCATTTTTATGGGTGTTCCCTTCCTCATAAACATATTTTAATTATTCTAGGTTTTTTCCCTATACCTCGCTTTTTGGAATAGAGTTAATGAAAACTGTCAATAAGCATATGACCTACTTACTGTCTATGTCAACTTAGTAGGATAGAAACTGTTATTATGTAGACATGCACTACTCTGTATTAGTACTCTCCCATTTCTAGTTCTTTGAGTTTTGAGTCTATGGAAGCTTAACTTGTCACCACGTCAGTACACCATATTTAATTCAATGTCATAGAATGCTGAAGATCATTATAGATCATAAATGGACCACCTAAAGTTTTATATTATCGTAGTGATTTAATGGTTCAGCTTCTTGTATACACCTACACCATTGTGATCGATTCTGAGCAATGTCACACACAATCTCAAACCACTGATTACGATAGTCACCACGACCCCAACCAAATAGTCTGCATCTACTAACATTACTAAGACTAGAAATTAAGGACTTCAATGACTGATGTCACGTTTTGGTTTTGCCGCCTCTAATGTTCTTCCAACCATCTCCAACACTAGTCAGCATTGCACGTCGTGGTAATCGATGTTCAAACATATGTAACACGCGACCCAACTATCTCAGTCAACGGAGATACCATCATCATTCCCCGATACCCTGTATCTAACCTCCCTATAACTTACCCGTTGATCCCAACAAATACGAGCAGTAGTTCCAAGATATCTGTGATCAGATATTAGTAACTTAAGAATATCTTCTACTCTTAATGGACACGTTTCGCAGGCATAAAGTAAGACAGAACGAACCACTGCTCAGTATACTCGTCCGTTAATTGATAGGCTGATACTGTCGCCATCGCCATAGTTGGTGACGTATGTTGGTAGAAGCCAAACGCGCTATCTGAATTGGTGCTGAGAGTTCGTCAGACGCCAACCCAAGATAAGTGAAGCAGTCGATGATGTATAACTGTATTCTTTTTATTATAAGCTTTATTTTGATCTATAGACTATTATGATTTACTACTCTTAAGTTATGTTCAGTTTATTGATTACAGTCTCCCACATTTACAGACACTTTTTGGATTGATCTTAAATTTTATTTCCTATTTTATGATGTAATGTGGTCTGTTTAACTGGTATATAAACCAATTATATTTGAATTAAATGATTTATATAGTGAAAGTTGTTATTGGCATTCAGGTCTCGACTGGACGATCTACGAGAACAAAGGGACCAATAAAGACACTAGGCTACTCATATCGGTCGAACATTATTGGTTTAACACTGTACTAAGATTGTATAAGTCTTATTTCAGTTGGTGAATAAATCACATAATAATTAACCGGATTTAATGTCACAACAATCATAGTGTCATAAAAATCTCAAATTCAGTACTGTTAATTTCATATTACAAAACTTTATACTAACTAAATAACATAAGAGTCATTGACAGCAATTAGATCTATATTAAGCTTGACTATTGTATACATCAACTAAACTAGAAATATAATTTATTATACTTAATCTTTTTGTCTCTTCCCCTTCCCATCCCCCCCCAAAAGACAACTACAGTGCAAACTACTAAATTTCACACTAGTAATAAAAAAAGTTTTATTACCTAAGAGTTTGTGTTTTTCATTGCTTAAGTGAACTTTGTATAGAGAAGGAATATCTAAACTTATATTTATCATCATTACTGCCTTAATATTATATTACGATCAGTTTTTGGTGGTGGTGGTGGTGTTGTTGTTGCTACGATCGTGTACTTTGGTTAACCTGAAATAAAATAAAGTCGTTTACATCTATATTAAGGAAATGTTTATCACGTATATAAATGTGATTTTATTTATGATGTTAGATCTGATAACGGTTGCAATGCTTAGTTTATATCATGTATCTACGTTTACGTATAAAAGATTCTCACACACCCACACCCACACCAATTCACACACACACACAAGTATATACACGTATATAAACATGTATCTGTCGTTAGATAAGTCGGTTCTAGAATAATAATAATAATAAAGATTTTTTCCCAAAATCCACGAAAGTTAAATAAACAATAAGTAGTAAATATAACGAGAATAAAATTAGGATAGAGAATCAGTTTGGGACACATGAATTTTTCAAGTATTGAAATTCATCATCATATAGTAATTACTTCATTTGTAAAGTGTCAATCAATTGTGTCAAACTTCACAATTGATTGATCATTCGGTGGTGATCAATATCATGCGTGTCAAGTCTTACAGGAGATCAGTCGTGGCCCGGATAGCTCAGTGGTAACGTCTCTGACTGTGAAGCTGGGTGACATGGGATCAAACCCGCCAGGGAGCACCAGTTCCCTTCTTTTCTTTGATTTTCTCAACCTTCTACTGCCAGGTATTTCACTTTCGATTGATGATACATACTATTTATATCTGTTGATATCAGTAGCATACACCATATTTCATTGAGAAGTTTGTAGAACTTCAAATTAACTTTTAAATTTTGTCAGTATTCATCTATTTTTTAATAATTCACTTGTTTAATATCAATCGATAACATTACCAGTTCTAAAATAATCATACAATTTCTTTTCTATAGTTGACATCATGAGTCAATTGAAGCTAGGCCACCATGAAAAAGCTGGAAATACTGAACGGCCGTTTCGTCCTATTGTGGGACTCCTCGACAGTGCGCATCCAGTACCCCGCCTTGCGAAGTCACGGAACTCGTACGCAAAACCTCTAAACGACTAAGCCGGTCGTTCAGTGCTTCCAGGTTTTCCATGGTGGCCAATCTTTAATTGACTCATGAATTCAACCATAAAATTATGTTCTAAGTCTAACACATATTATGTTTGCTTACTTATTATTTTACAGGTTATTTTATGAAAAGATTCAACGAAATTATTCAGACTGTAATCAACCATGGAATATACTTGGTGAAGTTATTAAACAAGTAAATGAAATGATTCAATCCAGTTAACGATTTAACCATCTTTTTTATATCACTTATTAAACATGTTTCATTGTAATCCGTATCAATAGTTGTGAAACCGTTTAGCATCGTTTTGAGTCTTCTACAGGAAAAAACATCCCAAATATAAAAGAAAGTATTTCAAATAGTATGATTGGGATGGAATCCTCAAGGCCAAAGGAAAAGAGGAAGACCAAAGAACACATTACGCCGGGAAATGGAAATAGACATGAGAAAAATGAACAGGAATTGGATGGAACTAGAAAAAAAGGTCCAGGACAGAGTGTGTCGGAGAATGCTGGTCTGCGGCCTATGCTTTATTAAGAGTAACAGGCATAAGTAAGTAAGTAAGTATGATTGGGGTACTTACCTACTTACTTACTTACGCATGTTACTCCTCGTGGAGAAGCATAGGCCACCAACAAGCATTCTCCATCCAACCCTGTCATGGGCAATCCTTTCCAACTCTTTCCAGTTCTTATTCATCCTTTTCATATCTGCTTCTATTTCCCAACGTAATGTGTTCTTTGACCTTCCTCTTTTCCGCTTCCCTTCAGGATTCCAAGTTAGGGCTTGTCTCGTGATGCAGTTTGACGAGTTGCGTAATGTATGTCTTATCCATTTCCAAAGTCTTCCCCTACTTTCCTCTTCAGCTGGAAGCTAGTTTGTTCTCTCCCACAGTAGGCTAATGCTGATCGTATCCGGTCAATGGATGTTGAGTATCTTGTGTAGACAACTATTTATAAGTGCTTATACCTTCTTGATGATGGTCGTAAATGATAAGATAATTGGGATAATTTAGTTAGAAACCCAGGTTACCTATTAAGAACACCCAGCACTTCCATGAAACTGCATAGTAGCTGTTAGTAAGATCATTTGCAGAGTCGTACGTTATCTAGTTAACAAAAATGTTAACACGTTTACAGCTCACTGTTGAAGAGCTCTAGATTCGGTATATTGTGTTTTTTTAAAAATCCAACTGCTATTAATAGCCTTGCAGATGGTGTGATGACCGTTTTCATATTTCATGTTTACCGAATCCAACTAGCTACATGGTTAAATGTAACTAATTTGTTGCTTATCTTACTTATTCTACATGACAAAAAAGTAACATAATTCAATAACTTTGTTACTAGATCTCATCTAAACTGGTAACCAAGCTCATCCACTTCCTCAATCCTTATAGACTAGTCAGTTCGTTCCGTCCTACTTTATGGCAGTGAAACATGGCCGGTAAGAGTAGTTGATATTCATAGGTTACTAGTATTCGATCATAGGTGTCTTCGAAGCATTGCTCGTATATCCTGGGACTATCGAGTATGTAATGCAGTTGTTAGGGAACGGGTACTAGGTAAGGATGGCAAATCCATTGATGAAGTGATCAAACTTCATCAGTTGAGATGGTTGGGACACATGTTACGTATGCCCAACGACCGACTGCCTCGACGTGCGATGTTCAGTGTTATAGGAGTAGGTTGAAAGAAAGCTAGTGGTGGCCAGACCAAAACATGGCACAAGTCCATGAAGTCACTGACAAGTGGACTGAGTCATGTTGGTAGGTGTAGACTACCTGGTTGGGGACCGCGAGATGATAGCAACCGATGGTTAGAGACCCTGAATGACATGGCTCAAAATCGTTTGCAATGGTGCAGGTGCATACACTCTTTGTGTTCTCCAAAATTCTAATCTTCTGATTTCTTCATGTCCCTTTCTTTTTTCTCTTCCCAAATTTATTTCACTGGATTATACTCCTTGAATAACATCTTCAAACCCTAATTTTTCTGATTACAGCTTATAATCTACCTACATCTAGCACTACGGGATTTGAATCGACCACTGCATCTCTGTGCTAATGTGGTATGGCAACTCGAACTGATGTACGTACGTACGAAGTTCTACGTTGGGACTGACTGACTGACTGATAGAGTAGTCAAAGTTTATTTCAAGTTCATGTATATTAAACTGACTAGAAAACAATATAAAACATTTTAGACATGTAACAATCAAGTTGTCGTAGATATTGGACATTAATCATCTTCTTAAGTGTAATTTAAGTGAGTGTACAATAATCCTTTATTCGAGTCAATGTCAGTTACAATCTATATTGTTTCATTTACAATCTATAATCCTATAACGGTACTATATGTAATGTGGAACTTCTGTGTTATAATCTATATAAAATTCATATGTTTATAATCTCGTACACATTTTGTGATCTGGGATCTAACTTCAGTTATATCTTATGAATGTTTATTGTCAAAATGGACATCCTGCTTATTCTCGTATTTAATTATCGACTTAGATCGCGTTAGTGAATAACAGAATTAAATAAGTCAAATACGTGAATGAATATTTCAATTATGTATATTTTGTACACTCATTGATCTGAGCAGATAATAAGAGGGACGAAGCTCAGAGAAGAGAGTGAAGTTAAATGATGCACAGTGAAGAAGATATGCAAGCCGACTCGATTTAATCAAGCGTCTAGCTTCAACTGACTCATGATTTCAACCTGTGAAATTTCTAAAAAACTGTCCACAAAACCCATTCTGATAATAATCAACTGCTCACTAGTGACTGACTCCAGGAAAAACTCCTGGAGTTCTAGTGAGAAGCCGTTACTAGTGGAGTTCAACCGGTCTGTTGTGAGATAACAACTCACTGAAGACAATTATGTACGTTGGCGCAACTTCGTGGATTGGTTGAAGTTAGACATTAACACCATTGGATGCCGGCTCAGTGGTCTAGTGGTTGAGTGCTCGCGCGCGAAGCCAGTAGGTCCTGGGTTCGAGCCCCGCGTGGTGCGGGATCGTGGATGCGCACTGCTGAGGAGTCCCGTACCAGGACGAAACGGCCGTCCAGTACTTCCAGGATTTCAATGGTGGTCTACCTTCAACTGACTCATGATTTCAACCTGTGAAATTTCTAAAAAACTCTCCACAAAACCCATTCTGACAATATTTATAATCACACAAAAATAGGCTACAGACGTGTGATAAATAGGATAAAAGGAGTGCACATTCACACACACGCAGTTATACGTTTACATGTGGACTTAACCGATACTACAGATCTGTATTTACTATCTATTCTAATTCATTTATATTTTCATTTCTTTTATAGGTGAAACAAGAATGTTTTGAACGTGTAAAATGTTTGGAACAAGAAAATTTAATTCTTCAACAACGTTATAAAGAACTTGAAGAAAGGGTAAACATTTCATATTAATTATATATCACTCTTAAATATCACTTAATTGATGTTATATGGAGGTAGATCAGTTGAAAAACAAACTTTAATAAATACCTATTCAGTCAGTCGGCTACATCGTAGGACCAGGTACATATGTGCATCGGTACAAGTTCTAATACATCATTAGCACAACAAGATGAACACCAGGTTCATAGAAGTAGTTAATTCACTGGTGGCAATATGTAAAAGAGAGATCGCACATAAGGATATATTACAAAAAGAAGGAATTATTTCGTGGAATAAACATATAAAGCAATTTTAATTTCACAGTTTAAGAGAAGACAGAGAGTGTATACACCTACACCATTGTGATTGATTCTGAGCCATGTCACCAACAGTCTTCAACAATTGGTTACAGTAGTCACGCCGACCATAAGCAAATAGTCTGCATCTACTAACACTACTAAGACTAGAAATTAAGGACTTCAATGACTGATGTCACGTTTTGGTTTTGCCGCCTCTAATGTTCTTCCAACCATCTCCAACACTAGTCAGCATTGCACGTCGTGGTAATCGACGTTCAGACATATGTAACACGCGACCCAACTATCTCAGTCAACGGAGATACACAATCTCATCAACTGATTTACCATCATCATTCCCCGATACCCTGTATCTAACCTCCCTATAACTTACCCGTTGATCCCAACAAATACGAGCAGTAGTTCCAAGATATCTGTGATCAGATATTAGTAACTTAAGAATATCTTCTACTCTTAATAGCCACGTTTCGCAGGCGTAAAGTAAGACAGAACGAACCACTGCTCAGTATACTCGTCCGTTAATTGATAGGCTGATACTGTCGCCATCGCCATAGTTGGTGACGTATGTTGGTAGAAGCCAAACGCGCTATCTGAATTGGTGCTAAATTTGTGTCAGACACTAACCCATTAGGGCTGATCAAACTTCCAATATCAGTGAAGTTCCCAATGCGTTCGACTACTTCACTCCCTATCCTTAGTTCAGGTGTTGATTGTATTGTATACTTTTGACTATGTTGACCACTGAAGAAAATTAAGAAAAATATCATAAACATAACGATTTATTGGAAAAAAGTGAGGAAAAAACAATCACAATCAACTTTTTGATCATGCGATTTTAATCAATGGTTTAATCATTAGTCTAATAGTTAAGGGCTCAGTTGCGAGACTGATAAGTCTTGGGCTCGAATATCGCAAGGAGGGATTGTGGATGCGCGCGACTGAGGAGTCCCGCGACAGGACGAAGTCGCCGCCCAGTGCTTCCAGGTTTTCCATGATGGTCTAGCTTCAATCGATTCATGATCTCAACTATTAAAATTACTATAATATCTACAGAACCCCTTCCAATATTAATCTCACGGAAAACAGAAGTATAAATTCTAAAATGACAAAGGTGACTATCAAAGGGGATATCTAAAATCAAATTCTTTACAAACAGTTTTAAGGATTTCTTTTATTAGAAATGACATTTTGAATATAGGCCAAAATCAATATACTCAAGAGTTTTATAGAAATGATGTAGCAAAAGAATAGTTGATAATTACAAAATAAACTTACGACCAATTCTAATAGTTTATTCTTACATAACCTGAAAGATTTAGAAAATTTTAATATTATCTTAGGCTATTATTATTGATAAGTAAAGATGAATAATGGCTAGCAGTGGAATCGATGACTCGCGTTTCGTCCTATCTGGGTCTCATCAGCTTGACGTACCTGGGCTCGAGTACTAGGGTGAACATCAACTCTATGAGATGCATGTACATCCAGCTGACGAGTCTTAAATAGGACGAAATGCTCATCAAACTGGAATCTACTGCTAGCCACCATTCATCTTTGTATATAATCCTTGTGAATTAAGGCTTTACCGAGGCAATATGCTCAGGATGCACATATGCCAAGAAGAGACTTATCAATTGCAGTCCTAATCATCAATAGGACGATTCAAGTAAACAATACCAAGTTAATTTATTATTATGATTACTATTTAGCGAATTCTTTTTGTAAGGATTCTTTAAAATTTTAAGAGATTTTTATCACATATTTCTTTTTACCTGAGGAGTATTATTAAACCAGGGAACACTTGAAGGCTGTTTTGTTCAAGTATGGGACAGTTCAACATCCATTAGGCCGCCAGAAATCAAACCTAAAATCTTTAGGTTTCGGCGTCGACCAAACAAATGAAAATTTCCATACTAAGATGAAACAGCTATTCAGTGTTTCATGATTTTCAATAACACTCTAATTGAGATCAATTCTTAACCAATAAGATCTACATATTAATATTATCAATACTATTATGATCACGTTCTCCTTGTCCTTATAATTGCAAAAGATTTGCACATGTTCTTTGTGTTTGATTGATGAATGACTGTTCGTTTATTATTACTGTTTAACTTGAAATAATATCCGAAGATAAAATAAACGATTCAGCATAAAGTTATCACTTGTATATGCTCAGTTCTGTGAGTTTGGTGGCTGTAGATCAGACACCATTTGGACTGTATGATGATTGTTATCAAGTTATCGAAATGTACATATCCTTGCTACCCTCGCGTTCGTGTATAACGAAATTCAATAAGTCAAGTGAGAGAATAGATGTTTTGAATACGTATATTTTGCACATTCATTAATCAGAATATACGATCAGTGAGACAGAGCGCAGGAAGCGAATAGAAATGACGCGCGGTGGAGGCGTGTGAGCCAACTCCCTTCAATCAAGCGTTAATCAATATTTATAGCCGAATAAAAATAAGTTGAATGGCATAAGAAGTATCAATCCCAACCCTGCTCCTTTATCCGGGCATGGGATCGGCAGTAGCCTCAGAGGGGCTCAAGGCGGAGTTTCACACACATACGATCATAGAAAAATAGTCATGGTTCATAAGTGAATAATTAATAAGGTCAAAATGTAACTCAAGAATAATGAATAAATCGGCCTGTCCCGACACTAGAATAGTTATATGGGCTTAACAAAGTAACTAACACTACTAATCCACTGTTTATGAATGACATTTTAGACAAATTTATTGATAATCCGTTGACCATATCATCATCACATGCTATTCAACTCCAATAACAGCTTACCTTTATTTATAAATGTGGATTTTTGTACAATAATGGAGAGACTATAATTTATAGACGAACCAATTAGATATAAGATAATAGGTCACTCGATTTTGGCGCGAAATTCACTCACCATTTGGATAAATAGAGTCTTGGCATTGTTGTTGATGTCACTTCATGATGAAAATTCTAAATCTAATTCCTTACCTTAACCATCAACTGTAAATCATAATTCTACGACCCTCATTTGATCCTAGTTATTAGGTGGACACTCTCACGGTTAGTCTAGCATCGCTCGATGGTCGTCTATAAATTATAGTCATACTAGAAAGCCTAATAATAAGTGACTGTTTAAATACTTAATAAGGTATAACAAAATTAAATCATTTCACAGAAAATGTGCTTTTATGAAGGAAGAGTTGAGAAGATACTCTCTCAGTGAGAATGTTAAAAAAAACTGTATTCAAAGGAAAATATAGGATACTTTTTTTCTTAGTAAACTTATGTTGTGTTCCTGTGGTTTTTTTAACTTTTAGTGAGGTACAATATTAAGTTTTTCATCAGTCTGTCAATAACTATGGTAATATATTTGGTGAAAAGTTTGTGTTCGCTAGGTGATTATTCATATAGCACATGAGATCTTTGTGAAATGTTAAATTCCAATAACGGTACACGTGAACCAATAGAATCGATAACATTTTATGCATGACGTTTAAGAGATTTTTAATTTGAATAAATATGGTTTCTTCAAAGAATTTCCCAGTAGATTTTTTTTAAAGATATTTGTGCATCCTTAAGAAAGGTAACTTTCACATTCACTTCCGTAAGTTTGACAGAATAACACAGAAAATTCCAAGGACCCTTAGACAGTAAAAGAACTTAATGAGTTTCTGAGTTATTCTGTTACGTTTTTTTTCTCTCTCCTAAAGTAAAGAGTAAATTTTGATGGAATTTTGTTCTCTGACCTAGATGATTTGATCATTCGACTGAACAACAACATCATCATCATCATCATATTTGCAAGCTTCTATCTGAAGAGTGAATATATGAATTACATCATTAAAGTACACAATATTCAGATAATTTTTATTTCTTAGAAAATCAGGTTTTTTTCCCCTCCTTCCATCTCCCCTCCTCCCTCTCTTTAAAAACAGATAAAATGATAAGATACACATTAGGCTTTTTTTGCGTGTGTTTTTATGAATAGCCTGATTTACAACACCATGTACAATTCTAGTACATACAGATGTTTATATTACGCATTACATTATTGTTACTATGTAATCATGTAATGATATGTAATTGAACATTAAGAATGATATAAAAATAGCTTTATTTGCTATTTATACTACTGATTTGGCTATAGATTATAAATTTCAATGTCCTTTGTACTTCAATTTACTTATATATATATATGTATATAGATAGATATGTATATGCATAAATCAAAAGAAATCTATACATGGATATAAATTAATGGGTAGAATAAAATTAGAAACATTATGATTATGTATTGGTAACCAAAAGACCAAGTGAACAATATTCATATATTAAACAAAGATGGATAGTAGCAAGAAGTAGAATCCAATGTGATGCTTATTTCGTCCTATTTAGGAACTTATCAATTGGATGTATTTGTATCTCAAAGTTGATATTCACTCTGAGACTTGAACTGAATATTGTTCACTTCACAAACATCATTACGTTATTCACTTAGTTACTGTGTCATGATAGCCACCTACTTGTGAAATAGGGTGAAGTTTTAAGTTCATTTGGTGTTAAAAAGATACAAGTAAATAACATCAAGTGAATTTATTCATAAACTACTTTATAAAAAATGAAATAGTATATTGTCTCAACAACAAAAATATATGATTTATAAAAATAGTGACATATGATATTGACTAAATAAAATCTATTATAAGTGACAACCATCGATCGACGCTGAAGTGATCTTGAGAGTGTCCATCTAATAACTAGGAGTAAATGATGGTTATAAACCAGTGTGAGGAATTCGAATAGTGATTTACAGTTGATGGTTAGGATTAGTGATAAGTCATGATAATTGAACGCTATATTCGGTTCCTAAGCTATTCTCGTAACCCCCCCCCAAGCTAGAACTACACAGCGATTGGAACACGAGATGAAGGGCGCAAACTATGCGAGAGGCACTTTACTCCAAAGATTTGTTCTAATACAGAGACTATGGGGTTTTTATAGTATTTTAGAAGTCTTTGGGTTTTCCTGAAAATTCTGAAATGCTACTAAGCCTAGTAGCGGTATAGTAATCAGACAATCAGAAACTCAACATGTGATTTTTCACTTTCTTGACGTTTCTGGCTGAATTTCTAGTGAACGCTAATTGGATAAAATGCTTCTTAGTATTTCCTTAGCCTTTCTTGTCTTTTGCGAGAAGTTTTCTGAATTACCCTAACAGTTAGAAATTAGGTTTAGGGTTTTCATCACAAATTAACATCAGTTATCATGCTAGAACTCTATTTAACGAAATGGATGAGCGAATTCCGCGCCAAAATCCGAGACCTGTTATCTTATATGTGATTGGTTTGTCCATAGATTATAGTCTCACCACGTCACTCGTTTATCCTTCGTTTTATTTCATTCATTCAAAATTTGTCTATTAGATTATCGTTCTACTTTCATTTTAACAATATGAAGCATAAGTGTAATTATATCATTAAAGGATGACAATCAGATTGCTGTTCACTCATATATTATTGCAACTTCAACCAATTTACGGGGAATCACAAAGATTATGCGACGTTACTCTATACGACTGCTTCATTCTAAACGTGCCTGTGCTCCACAAGTCACGACTTTCTACTAGATATTCAAGATTTCATCTTAAATCTTGCTTCTAATGAACAGAATAGTATAGTTTATCGGTATAGCTAAATGTACAGAGATTTTTAGATTTTGTGGTTTATAACATGGGATGACTGAATTAAACGATCATTGAAAATCAGGAAGCATAGATATTTGTTAACATAAGACATCATGATAATTCTCCTATTGTCAATTTGGATTATGGTTAAATTTTTGTTAGCCCTTTAATTAACTTACTTAACAGATAATGTTATCCGGACATTAACAATTCGTCTATTTCTTTGCACTATTAAGATCACTATCATGTCTGTATAAACATGTACGTTTGGTCACATGTGACAGCCTACATACATATGTTTCTTTAGCTTAATTGTCAATAGCTTAAATATCACTCGATGATTCATTATCTTCCTCCATGTATATTATTAGTCCTTGTTTTGCCTTACTGTTACCTTATTCGATTTGGCTATAAATTTACCTATTTATTTGCTCGTATACATACATTCGCCTCTCTACTTCAAATTCGATCGATGTGCTTATAGCTGTGTGATCTGTACTATCCACTAAAAAACTGTAGTTGTCGATTCTCATTGACTTCTGATTTCAAACACCTTTGAGGTTTATATAATAACGATTATCAAAGTGATTGAGTAACGAAATAAAGCCACTACAACTTAAGAACTCTTTTAGCTTCACCATTTCATTTTTTTGGAGGACGAACGCAAAGATATGGGAAAAATCCCAGGATAGGTGTGTTTAACTAACATTCTATTTTGATTTCTAAAGATACTTGAAATTTTTCAAAACTATCGTATGCATCAGAAGCGGTTATGTGGAAGTTGTAGTAATTCCAATATTTGAGATCATGAGTCAATTGAAGCTAGATCACCATGGGAAACCTGCAAGCACTCGACGGCCGTTTCGTCTTAGTGTGGAACTCCTCAGGAGTGTGCATCCACAATCCCGGCTCGCGATATTCTAACCTAGAACATATTGGTCTCGCGTGAGAGCGCTTAAACACTAGACCACTGAGCATGTCTAACTTCAACCGATCCACGGAATTGAGCGACACATCCACGATTGTCATCAGTGAGTTCCTAACTCACAACAGACCCGGTTGAACTCCACTGGTCACTGCTTCTCAGTAGAACTCCAGGATATACATCTTGAAGCCAATCATTAGTGAGCATATTTTGATTGGTATCAGAAGGGGTTTTGTGGAGATTGTAATAATTTCATAACCATCATATGCTTCAATTATGATGAATTTTAGTCACCAAATACAGAATTAAGTAATGACCAGTTAATCCATTGTTCAAATTATTTAAATCGTTTTTACTACTATTGTTAAATGAATTCTGACTAGTATTAGTCAGCACGTGTGCATCTTGTGCTGACTGCCTTAATCTAACTGCATTATCACAAATTTTTAGAGAACAGATGGATTGCGAATAGCAGTGGAATGCATATCCACATTATGTATTATCTGAGATACCTCAAACACTTATAAATTAAATTAAATTAATACCCGTTACTCATCGGATCAAGAGATACGGCATTGACAATTGAAGCAAAAGGTATTGAGTTCAAGTTCTTGCATGAATATCAGCCCTGGAATGCAGATACCTTCAGCTGATGAATCTTATATAGGACGAGAACCTCAACCCAGATTTAATTACTAACTATAATCTATCTATTCTATTAAACTAGCCAATTTAGAAGTAACTGGATTTTGAAGAAAAAAATGTTTCGACCTATCAATCTGTTAATAAGTCAATTCTGCGTTTTAATACTTAAAAGAAATGTGTTCAGTTATAACTTGAGGAATTGTGCCTTGTGTTCTATTGATGTATAACATGATGATAACGCCAATTAGAGAACAGTGATTTATCGATCGGACCAACGACACATAAAACACGTACGAGCAGTCTAGAGTCCTATCGGTCCTTCTTTCCGCCTAGTCCAGCCAGTTAAGTCCAGAACACCAATCTCAGCCTCTGCAATATGAATTATGTATTTCAAACATACTCGGTTTATATACCAACCAAACAGATCACATCGTACCATAAAATAGAAAACAATATTTGTACAAGAATTAGTCAAATGTGGCTGTGAATATGGCAGGTAGTAATGAATAGTCTGGGCATAACTGAAGAATGGTAAATCGTATAACAATAGTTCATAGGTCAAAATAAAGCTCATGATAAAAGGAAGACAAATATGAGTGGTTTAGTTATTTAGGAATTACATGATAAAAGTATACGTATAGTAGCAGTTTCATTGTCCCAAAACTCTCTCCATTTTTAATACAAATATTGAATTGAAAACATCTGTAGTTACTTCTTTAAAGTCAGTTGGATTACTTACTATTGTGTTTCTGTAAATTTCTTAACTAAGAACTCTATCGATTATGTTGTATCCAAGGGTCCTTATTTTTTATTGATTAGCTACTCTTTTATTACTTTTTTTTGCTAACACGTTATTATTTCAATACTAGATTACGTAATACGAATAATAACAATAGACATAATAAATTAGTAACGAATTATAACGTGAATGTAGTAAGGTACATTGGCCATAGCTAGCGATTGCTTTCAATTTGGATACGGGAATAAGTTTCAGTTTGGTTCTACAAGAGTGAGAGGATAGCAGTTAGGAGTTCTATACTTGAACACCGAATCAACTGTAATCATTCTACGGACCCACGGTTTGATTTTAAGGTTGTATATATGATTCATTCAAATCTACGTAGATTCCTTGCTATCCAACTCCTAGAAAAAATAGCCGAAGCTCTTATCGTATATGAGCTCAAGCCAGAACTATGCGTACAAAAGCAGTAAATCTTATCGTTATCGTTACCTTGACCTTTATTATTATCATTATTACTTCATTTATCCCTTCACTTATGTCTCTTATTCTCATTGTCTTATTTATGAAAGCGCATGATATCACATTATTTATTCTTTCCACCTCAATGGTTGAGATCATGAGTCAATTGAACCTAGACCAGTATGGAAAACCTGAAAGCAATGAACGGTCGTTTCATCCTACTATGAGACTCCTCAACAGTGCGCATCCACGACCTCGCCTCACGAGATTCGAACATAGGACCTATTAGTCTCACGTGAGAGCACTTAACCACTAAACCATTAGTCATCTTATTCCATTCACGTTATAATTCGTTACTAACTTATTAAGTCTATTGTTATTATTTATTCGTATTACATAATCTAGTATTATAATCTTTCTATTAGATCATATTAGTTATTCCTTGTTTACATTTCTTCATAGAACTAATACCTTACTGATGATGATTTTGTTTACTATTATTTTCATTTCAAAGGTTTTACCTCTAACAAAATCATTAAATGGACAAGAAGATCTTAAAGAATATTTAAAACTTTTATATTCTAATCAAATGAATTCAACTACAGTAAATTTAACATCAACTTCATATGTTAATATGAAGAATTCTAATACAATGGAACTGCTAACTAATCTTTTACTTTATACAAATCTATCGCAAAAAGTAAGTGAATGATAAATTATAATTTTTTTAAACATTTTTGATGAGACTATCATTCTATGAATGAACCAATCAGCTATAAGATAATTGGCCTTGGGTTTTGGCGCGAAATTCACTTATCAATTTGGTTAACTAGCGTTTTTAGCATTATAACTGATGCCAGTTCATGGTGGACACTCTAAATTTAATTCCTTGTCCTTTTCTTAGTTTTAATATTGACAGTATAAAGTAACAGTAGTATTATTTCTCTTTATTGTAATTTATGCTTCATTGGTGAGAATATAATTTATAGACGACCATCGAGCGACGCTAGAGTAACCGTGAGAGTGTCCACCTAATAACTAGGATCAAATAAGTGTTATAAACCAGTGTAAGGAAATAGGATTATGATCTACAGTTGATGGTTAAGGTTAGGAATTAGATTTAGAATTTTCATTATGAACTGACATCAGCTATGAGGCCAAGAATCTATTTATCCAAATGGTTGAGTGAATTTATCGCCAAAATCCGAGACCTGCTATCTTATATCTAATTGGTTCGTCTATAAACTATAATCTCATCGATCCATTCCACGACATTTTTCCTTTATTCTTAATCATACATAGATGTCTCTAATCTTATATGACATACTTATTAGTAATTAGTATTGTCATTATTGTTATCAATGGTATTGGGGTGTGTACAACTGATGTAGTGTGTATCATCAATCGAAAATGAAATGTCTGGGAGTAGAAGGTTAAGAAGATCAAAGAAAAAAGAACGAAAACAAAGAATGATTGGTGTATAATTCAAAGAACACTGAACTCTGAGATGATTGATTGGCATTTTGCAAATGTAGTATTTACTGTATGGTTCTCAGATTATACTAAAACGTTCTGTTATATTGTGTTCACATACATTCGATTGTCTCCCACTTGAGTTCTCATTCACTACGGTATTATTATCACAACGACTACCGAACAATATTTATTGTCATTATTTTGACCGTAGTAATAATCTATCTCATTAGTATATAAATAGCACGGGACGGCCATTTCTTCCTATCGGATGCCGGCTCAGTGGTCTAGTGGTTAAGCGCTCGCGCGCGAAACTCATAGGTGCTGGGTTTGAACCTCACGAGATGGGGTCGTGGATGTGCACTGCTGAGGAGTTCCACACTAAGACAAAACGTCCGTCGAGTGTTTCCAGGTTTTCTATGGTGATTTAGCTTCAATTGACTCATGATCTCAAATATTGAAATATACAAAAGCGTTTTAGATTTAACTCGATTAAAATAAAATTGAATAAATAATGATGAAAAATATCTAAAAGTGTTTTGATGGAGTTTCGTTCTTTAAGCAGAATGTTCATCGTCTTACTTAGATACTGACTTCTGTTACTCTCCATGGAAGAGCGTAAACCGCCTAAATGATCGTTTCTTTATTGATTTACCAATTTTTATCCTATCATCTGTTTTTATCTCTTATTTGAATATATTTTCTTTATTAGGATATCCTATTAAATTATCATCAATTACATAAAAGAGTAGCTCAATTGGAACGAATTAATTCTTTATTATGTTCAATTATATGTGACGGTGGATTCATTTCAATCTTAGATAAGAAACTATTAAACTATAATAATACTAATCATGAAACAAATTCAACATTCCATTCCCGTTTAAAGAATTTATCAAGGATGAATTATCACTCAGTAGAAAATTTATCTTTATATAATACTACTAGTGAAACTACTGATAAACACAATACAATTTCATACAACAATATTAATACTACCACTAGTACTAGCGCTAGTACTGCTACTACTACTACTACTGCTACTGCTACTGCTACTATTACCACTACTACTGCTATTAATACTAGTACTACTACTAATAATAATAATAGTGACATTAAAACTAATGATTTTGTACAGAATACTAGGGATAATTATCAGTTATCTTTATCGAATAAATGTACAGTTCAACACCGACCGACTACTAACCGACCAACAGTTCAACAACCGTTTGATTCTACAAATATGAATGTAAGTCAATTGTATAGTATTCAGTGTATCATTAAATGGATTAGTTTATTAATTTTCTCAATGACAATGAGATTTTAATTATTGTAAGTTTTCAATAGAATGTTACTGAATTGAATGAAAGATTCAATAGATGCCCAACTTCAAGATTAACAGTTTGGATTCTTTAAAGGATCGGTTGTGCACAGATCAAATCGTCACACTTTGGATTGTTGTTAAACTTGTCATTATACATCAACTTCTTTGATTATGAGAAAGTAATTAACAGTTTGGATAAGAGAACATTATGGAAACTTTTTCTACTCTATGTAGTGAGTAGCTGAGAATATCGTCAATATCATATGAAATCTATACGAGGGACTACAATGCAAAGTCGTGCACGGAGAACAGCTGACAGATGCATTCCAAGCAATGATCAGAATCAGACAAAGCTGTTTATTCTCTCCCGTTCTCTTTCTTCTGTTCGTTGAATGGATTATAATTCACAGCTCCGAATCAACTAGACGATTTAGACTTAGTAGATTATCTGGCTCTTTTCTCCCATACACACGAATAAATGCAGATGAAGACACTTAGTATAGCATCAGCCTCTGCATCAGTAGGCTTCAACGTACAGAAGGGAAAAAGCAATATCCTGGAATACAACACGGAGAACACCAACGCAATCACACTTGATGGAGAAGCTCTGGAAGATGTGGAATCTTTCACATACCTGAGAAGCATCATCAATGAACGTGGAGGATGTGATGCAGATGTGAAGGTGAGGATTAGTAAACCAAGGACCGCATTCCTACAGTTGAACAACATATGGAACTCAAAATCTTGAACTCATTATCTTTTATTTCAAACGTCAACGGGTTATCTACTAACCTACTGGGTTCAGATGAATAAAAACTTGTTGATCGGGTTTTGTGTTTATATAATTTCTTGTAAATATCCAAACTAATGAGTTGTGATTATTATGATTAGTCTTTTTCGTTATACGTATATTCTTTGAGGAATTCCTTGATAAAGCTATATCATCATATCTTTCAAAAACCGTGAACCTAACTTTTGTGACCATTGGTATTCGTTATAAAGTCATATAATTATAAATGAACCACAGTTTTTGTTCACATTATCTGCTTTGCTTGTTTACATGTTGCCGAATTCAAAACACTACATCAAAGTTATTCTGCCATGTTGCTTCATGTATTGTTTAGTAAATCTAAATAGATATTTTAGGCAAAACTGTTTCTCTTATTCAACTGATCAGAAAGAATGATAACGAAAGTTGAAGTTAGATTACTATAGTATTTCACGATTTACAAACTATGAACATTTAACTTCATAACAGACAGACTTTATTAATTTCATATCTTTTTTTCGAATATCTAGTTACCTTTTAAACCCCCGAATTCCCTGGTACGGCTGAGAGTGGGCACAGTTAACTCTCCCTTTCGAAATGCTCTCACATGGCCACGTGCATACAACCACTGCCAGGGAATTCCTACTCAGTTTCTTCTTATGACGGGAGTGTTCTTTACAAAAATGGGAGGATGAAAACCGAATGTCTGTCGCTTTAACTGGGTGCACATGGGTTCCAGTATCCTAAGGGAATAAATAACATGGGATTGCATCTCCTTACGTTAACCCATTGCTTTGCAGATTCGACCGTTAGGTCGAGGGTTCCGAGTGTAGCCTTTCTGAAAAAGAACCCACCTGTTTCAGTTTGAGCACCCTAATAGTATCCCAACCCTCACACAAATCAATTAATTCATGTAACGCATATCTATTTCCTTATTATCTTCATTCACATATCCATCTCTTATTGTATATCTTTCTTTTTGTACAGATTTCACAATTTTATAAAGAACAACAATTGAATTCAATAAAATTCACCTGGATACAATCAAAATCTTTACCTAATTTAAAAATCAATTCAAAAATAACAAAAAAAACTTCATTATGGAAAAATTCTTTCAATCATTCATTATCTTTACTTCCTATCACAAATTATTCCATTCAACATTTTAATAAACAAACAAATTTTATCAATAATTTAAAAATATCACCTAGTTACCATGTAGTAACACAAATGATCAATCATAAAAATGATCTGACTTCTAATCAAATTAAACCTCATATAAATAAATTCAATCAATTATTATTATTATCTAAAGATCGATACAATTACATGATCAATATCATAATCATCAATTAAATCATTCTATGAGATTAGAAACAAAAAGTTTACCATTATTATCATCAATTGATTATTGGAAAAATACATTGAAAACTTCTTTATTCAATCATATTCATTTTATACATTCATATTCATTATGTAATTTACATAGGAATAATAATATTCCATTGAATACTATGATGCAAGTCAATTCTTATTCATCAAATGATCATAAATTATTAATCAATCATATTAATTCAGATCATAATAATCATAAAGAGGATCATCATTTAAAGGTTAATCATTGTATTGAAAAGAAAATAAGTAATTCTATTCAACAACCTAAAGTTTATGTAACATCTAATCAAAGTATTGAATATTTATCAAATTCAAAACAAATTTTATGCAGGTTAGTTTTAGATCTATTTGATTAAGATTATTGAAAACTTGAAAGTATTGAATGGTTGTTTTGTTCCTGTTTTGGAATTAATACTCGGCAGTGCTCACTACGATCCCACTCAAGACTTGTTACCGCTTAACCTCTATACTATTAAGCTGGAATCTAATGGTGTTAATGTCTAATTTGAACTAATCCATGAAATTGCGCGACCATCTTCCATTGTACTGAAGTAGATGCCTGTTTCTAAGTGATATAGATTAGTTCCTTTAGTTACAGCTACTCACGAGAACTCAGAGCAATTAGTGAGTATATGATAATTATCAGTATAGGGTTGTGAAGATCATTAAAAAGATCATTTATTCACTAGATTTTGTACATTCGTTGGTTAACTAGACTAATCATATATAGAATTACTTAAACTTACGGTAAATTGATGAATCGCCAACTAGATTAACTGAGTGGTGTTGATATTGACAGGAACATCAATCTGTGGTGGTCGGTACTCAATGTAATCCTTAAGCTTCGTATAAAGTTAGTCTTCATAACCGTTATTGAATAATGCCTCAGTGGGGTATTATTCAGAACGCGAATACGGAGTGTTGATCTCGTTTAGTATTACACCACACACAGATATCCAAATTTGCAAGTACGCTAAGCAAGCATGAAAGAATAGTGCCGAAAAGCAAGAAGGCAAGCGAGTGAGCGAGTAAATCAATGAACAGGATTAAAATGTACATATATATAAATAGTGATATGAGTGAATCATCGAATCAATTAAGCGACTAACATTAAAGCTACAAGAATGAATATATATGCGTAGGCAGTGAGAAATCCTCAAGCATGCATATTCATACAAGTGCAACAATAATAAAGGTACAATGGTATAGATAAGTTGTTATTGTGTAAATGACTCTGTCCGTATCCCAGCCCTTACACAAATCGAATGATGCATTTGAAGTGAACGGTACTTAGTTCGAGTCCCAGAGTGAACATCAACTCTCAGATGCAGGTACATCCAGCTAACGAGTCACAAGTAGGACGAAACGCGCATCCTGGATCCCACCATTAGCTACCATCCATTTTTGTTAAGAATGCTTGTGAATTAAGGTAATATCGATGCAATACGCACAGTATGCATATATGCCAACAAGAGACTGATCAATTGCAGTCCTAAATAACAATGGGAAGATAAAAGTAAACAACACCAAGTGAATACAGACAAAATATGCCAAGTAATAAAAATCATAATCCACGGTTTGTTTTATCTAGTACTCGTTAGCTGAACATACCTTAGTTCAAGATTCCAATGTAAAATGCATCCTATCTAATTCATATAAACAAACTTGTGTCTATATTGTGGTACTCCTCATAGGATTCACATTATACCAACTAAGATCGATCAAAATTTAGTCAAAATCTTATCATTGTGGTAATTTAAACTATTACAAACTAAAGGTTTATCACTAAGATAAAGAAAAACATGTATATGTATAGAATAGGTGATTCATGAAGACACTAACACCATTGGTGGTGGTCTAACATCAATTGATTCATGATCTCAACCAAAAACTTAACAATCTCCACAACCCCCATACTGATGATTCATGAAGATTTTATACTCATTGACTGAAGTTGTGAAAATGCTGACATAAAGATATCAACTCTAGTGATTCCAAGACAACACATTTCATGTGTCATCAATCTATCATTATTATGGATGATTAAATTGTCATATATAATATATTTAAGTGATCGATCGAAAAATGAATCTAGTTTACTTTCGTAATTTGTCAATACGAACCCGACTACATGTTATGTAATAATGTATAGCATGAAATAAAACTACTTTTTACCATATTAGTTCTTTACTAACAAATCACTCATTTGGTTACTAAACTTACTTATGTTTGTGACCCCCACATGAGTATGGGCCACCGAACAGCATTCTCTAACTCATTCTGTCCTGGGTCATCCTTTTTGGTTCTATCCAATTGTTGCTCATTATTCTCATGTCTGTCTCCATTTTTCGAGGTAATTTCTTCTTTGGTCTTCCACTTCTCCTCCTTTTGCATTGAGGATTCCAAGTGATGGCTTTCCTTGTGATGCAGTTGGTGTTTTCTTCTATATGTGTCCTATCCACTTCCAGCGCTTCTTCCTGATTTCTTTCTCCGCTGGGACGCGGTTTGCTCTCTCTCATAGTAGGTTGTTGTTCATAGTGTTTTGCCAATGAGTCCAAAGTATTTTGCGTAGACAACTGTTAGTAAACACTTGCATCTTCTGGATGATGGCTTTCGTAGTTCTCAAAGTTTCTGCCCCATACAGTAGAATTGTCTTGACATTTGTATTGAAAATTTTGACTTTAATGTTGGCTTGTAGACAGTTGTTTTGAGTTCCAGATGTTCATCAATTGTAGATATGTTGCTCTTGTTTTACCGATTCGCGCCTTCATATCTTCACTTGCTTTAGTCAATGAAATAAATAAATCATTAATTAAATCAAATAAAGAAAAAAATTAGTAATAATTTATTTATTAACCATTTAATATCCTTTATCTAAACCCCTACGCATTGCTGACTAGTGTAGGGGATGGTTGAAAGAAAGTTAGGGGCGGCCAAGTCAAAGACGTGACATCAGTGCTTCAAGTCACTAACTTCTAGTCTTAGCCATGTTGGTAGATACAGAATACTTGGTTGGTGTCCGTGTGACTATCGTAACCAATGGTTGGAGTTTCTGAGTGGTATGATTCATAATTGATCACAACGGCGTCAGTGTATACACTCTTTGTCTTTCTTTAAACTGTGAGGTTAAAATTGCTTTATATCTTTCTTTCTACGAACTAATTATTTCTTCCTGTACTATATCCTTATATACGATCTCTCTTTTATATATTACCACCATTGAATTAACTACTTCTATGAATTTGATGTTCATCTTGTTGTGTAAATGGTGTGTGATAACTTAGACCGATGCACGTATGTACCTGGTCTTACGTTGTAGCTGACTGACTGATCTAAACCCCTCATTCTTAAGATAATTAAAACCAATCTAATAAATCTACTTAACATTTAGCATAATACTAACCAATTAAGTTACACCGATCTATAAGTCATTTAGTCAATGAATTATACTGCGAAACATGAATTACAATCAGTTAATTAATGTATTCGTTTATCACAATTATAATGAACCCTACATAAATGTCATATATAGATGATATAAAGGATTTTAAAGTGGTAATTAAGTTAGTTATAAACTAAGGAAAAGTAAACTGGAGAATAGAAACATGTCACCAAGACTATCTTAGTAATAATCAACTAACTAAAACAAACTTAACCAATTAAAGGTTCATGTTCTCTCTTTGGTACATTTAATATAATAGGCGTCAGGTTTAATAATAATCATAATAATAACCCTCATTTTATCAAAAAAATGAAAGAATATTTCCAATGGCTTGCTAACTTACGCCTGTTAACCCCCATAGAGTATAGGCTGCCGATCATCAATCTCCAACCTATTCTATCCTGAGCCTTCCTTTTTAATTGTATCATTTTCAATGGCGAATGCATAGAAAACTTTACCTTAATGTCAATCATAAATTATGTAGTAACATTTTTAAAAACGAACGCACACACACACACACACAAAGAGATACTACTTACTTAGAAAAGAGAAATACGTTAACAAAGAAAAAACAAAGAGTGAGACATAAGTCGTTCTCTTTTCCTTCCAAAAAATGGTAAACTTGTATGTTACATTAAATTCATGATAAACAATGTAATTTTCTCATTTATAATGATGTAATGTAAATGATATTACAGTGAATGGCTTGATTTCAATAGATACTTCGATCATTATTTCGGATATTATTATCTAATCGTTGAAATCATGAATTGATTTAAGTTAGACCACCATGAAGAAACCTGAAATTATTTGGATGGCTATTTCATCCTAGTATGGGATTATCCAATAGTGAGCATCCGAGATTTCGCTAAAGGGATTCGAACCTAAGATCATCGTTTTCACTGAAGACAATAATCGATATATCACTCAATTTCATGAGTTGGTTCAAGTTAAACAATAACACCGTTGGATGCCGACTGGCTCAGTGGTTTAGAAGTGAAGTGTTCGCGCGGAGAACCGAAGGTCCTGGTTTCGAATCATGCGAGAGAGATCGTAGGTTCATACTACTGAGGAGTCCTGAGCTATGATAAGACGGCCGTCCAGTACTTCCAGGTTTTATATGGTGGTCTAGATTTAATCGATTCATGTATTCAACTATTAGATTACTAAAATCTTCTATATACTAATATAAGTAACAAATATTAACACAGATATATCAGCGTTAGAAATGCACCGCATTATCAATAAGATGAGCGTGACTATGAGGAGTTTCTCAGTAGTGAGTTATGAGTCTAGTTACTTAATATCAACTCAAACTTTCCTTAAGCAAGTTAAGATATGAATTTCGACTTATAGAAAGTTGAACTTGAAAAAGCTTGTTCAAAAATATGATTTGACTCACACACAAAAAAGGACGTCCTACCTTATAAATTAAATTTTTCCAAAGAAAATTTTGTGAGGCTAGTCGTCTTATAACCATGTCTCAATGTCAGAACCAATATCTTACCGTGGTAAGATGGTGAGATTCCTGGGTACCTTGAGATTCATGGTTACATTCGCCAAAGTCTAGTTGATTTTCATTATCGTTTTCGATGAGAACTGACATCAGTTGGATTTCTGTTGAAAATTAAATTCAAACTACTGATCCCTACTTATGATCACAAGAAACTTCACATCTCGTAGAGAGTCCATTTTTACTATTAGTTACCAATGTAATAGTTCTCATGATTGAGATCCAGTTGCGATACACAAAGATCCTATGATGAATCTCCCAGTACTGATGAGGAGTATTATGCTACAACAAAACAGTTGTTTATTACTCTGTGTCTTTTAACGGAAACTCGAATAAAATCAATCTGTGACTAACAGAATAAATAATCCCTTAAAAAAAATCAATTCATCTATGATATACAAAGATGGATAGTAGCTAGCAAAGGAATCCAGGACGCATGTTTCGTCCACTGCTAGCCACTATCCATCTTTTCTTATAAAACTTGTGATCTAAGGCAATATCGAGGTAGTCCGCACAGTATGCACATATGCCAACAAGAGACTGATCAATTGCAGTTCTAAACATCAATGGGAAGATAAAAGTAGGCAGAATCAGGAGAATTACTTTATGATATTTTAAGCGTTTTTCTTCATTGAAGCATAGTTTAAGGAGCTTACACTGATTTTGTAAATTAAGTGTATGATAATATTTGTACATAATCTATAAATAAGCAAAACTTGAACCGTTTCCATGGTAACATCAATGAACGTATGGTTTGTTTCTTTTCATTTCTCAGTGTATCATATATGAAGTAACTATCGAAATTTACTTAAAGTTTATTGAGGAACACTAATTAGAACTTAACAAGCTTGAGTTACTTAAAATCCATACGGTAATCATAAAATTAATAATAATGGCCTTATTCCATATGATAGTCTTAGTACAATATAGAATTCTCAGCTCAAAGTATTACAACAAGTTTCCTATTTCTTACTTGTTGGTCGATCCTGACGATAAATATTGAGTGATCACCAGTTAGAATTTAGCAGTCTAGTCAATCGACATCTAAATAATATACATTCTTTTCGTTGCATACTCCCAGCAACCACGATGTCTCTAATTAGGCTCTTCTGACGATAAATACTGAGTGATCACCAATTAGATGGTAGCAGTTCAAGAATCGACATCTGATTACTGTGTATTCTTTTCGATATACATTGCCAGTAACTACAATATCTCTAATTGGGTACTTTTGTAACTAGTACAACGAAAGATTGTACACTTTTCACAAATGCACCTAAATAGATTATGTGATCAAGTAATAGTCATAATGATCTATTAAAACAAGCAACAAAACAAATAATTTGTTGAAATATCCAGATAGTAGGAATAGGTAGCTCATATATTCAAGCAGGTTGCCAATGTAAGGTCATTAATGTAAATTTTGAAGAAAAAATAATATACCATGGTGATTAATCAGATCCAACTAAGTAAACAACAAGTTCATATAAAGATCATGAACCGATTATGTTAGAGCACCTTTGGAAACCTGGAAGCACTGGACGGCCGTTTCGTCCTATTGCTGAACTCCTCAGCAGTGCGCGTCCACGATCCCGCGAGAGGGATTCGAGCCCAGATCTTTCGGCCTCGCGCGCGAACGCTTAATCTACTGGACCACTGAGCCGGCATTCAATGGTGATAGTGTCTAACATCAACCAATCCACGAAATTGCGCGACCGACTTTCATTGTACTGAGGTAGATACCTGTCTCTACCCGACATGGATTAGCTCCACTGGTCACGGCTTCTCACTAGAACTCCTAGAATTCCCTCACGAAGCTAGTCACTAGTGAGCACATGTTGAACAATTTCCACAACCACTATACTAGTAAGTTCGTATAAACTTGTCACTAATTGGTCAATTCTGTTAAATGCGGTCCAACTGATTGAATACGAAATTTTTTAGTAGTTAGTTTAATGAAATAATCTCTAATCTTACAGGTAATTATTCTACATTTCTTGTTGGTTAATAGAATATGATGATGTTCATAGTTTAATACAGTGTTGATTGACTGAACGGGTTATGTGTATTAATATAAACAACATACAATTTGGCATAATCTGTTTATGGTCTAAGTTTCCATACTATACACCTAATGTATAAGATAAAGTAAAGGGGTAAATTATAAAAATCTTCCCCTCAACTTTATATTATCAAAATAAGCCTATCAACTATATTGATTGTTGATTACCTATTGATAATTTATGGATAGACAAAATGTTGTTTTCATATTATTATCTAGTAAATAAAAATTGTACCATTATGTCCCCCCCCCAAATGTCTGATATGCCAGATATTTTAAAAGCATTGGCTTATTAGTCTATCATCCTGTTGAAACAAATAAAAATTTCATAGGTGAATTTGTGAGTCAATTGAAGCTAGACTACCATGAAAAACCTGGAAGCACTGGACGGATGTTTCGACACAGTATGGGACTCCTCAGCAGTGTGTAACCACTATAAAAATACCAAAATCTCCACGAAACCCCTTCTGATAATCATCATCGTATGATCACTAGTGACTGGCTTCAAGACGTATATTCTGGAGTTCCGGTGAGTAACGGTGACCAATAGAGTTCAACTAGGTGTATTGTGAGATAGTAACTCATTGAAAACAATGGTGGATGTGTTGCATAAATTCGTGGATTAGTTAAAGTTAGATATTAACACCGTTGGATGTCGGCTTCCTCAGTGGTCTAGTGGTTAAGCGCTAGCGCGCGAGACTGATAGGTGCTGGGTTCGAATCTCGCGAGGCAGGGTCATAGATGCGCACTGCTGAGGAATGCCAAGCTAGGTCGAAAAAGCCGTCCATTGCTTACAGGTTTTCCATAGCGTTCGAGTTTCAATTGACCCATAGTCTCAACTATTAAATTTAATATAATATCCAAAAAACCCTTCCGATATTAATATTTTTAAGCGCTTTTTCATACCGCTAGACACTATTGATGGATGCAACGATGTTTGATAGGAGTAACCCATCTCAGAGCTAGCAAAAACGCGGGTTTGTTGGAATCATCTCAATAGTATATATATATATATATATATATATATATATATATATATATATATATATATATATATATATTAAAAGGATTCTTCCTGAATTCTTAACGCATGCTGAATTTTTAGTGGCCATGTATCTGACTTCAGTTGGATCATTATTGTTCGATGTGTCGCGTGCAGTTGCTACCTCAATTCAAGTTGTTAGACAAGCCTATTACTCACACGGATTTCTTAGATGAGATTCTTGTTTATTAATATCAACATCTAATACTGTCAACTTACGGTTTATTTCTTCGCTTTCACGATGAAGCTCTACATCTTGGGTATCCACTAGATGAGATTGATCATGAGCAGGAGATATAACTTCAATTTGTGGTTGACAAGCCGGTTCTTTAGTCTGCTATCGAAGTAGATTAGGGAGATTAGAATGCCCGATCACTTGATATTATGAAACTGGTTGTAGTAAAAGATGATTTGACTGGTGGAAACTGCTTTGATTAGGATGTGTAGTAGCAGGTAGGTGATGAAGATGGTCAGAAATCAGGTGAGAAGAGATTTAGAAGACTGATGTTAGATTCGATGCTTTCACTGGCATATATGACAATGAAGACTGACTGGTTACAGTTTGTGACCTCAAGACAGGTGCGCTAACTAGGGCTTAACACAGTAAACGACATGTATAGCAGCTCACATGCAACTGATTTTGTTCACATCTAATTTGGTTAATCCCATTTGTTAATTTATTTAACGGATAAAGTAATTCGTACAACAACTTATCTATGCTATAGTACCTTTATTATCGTTGCACTTGTATGAATATGTATGCTTGAGCATTGCTTACTACCTACTCATATATATTCATTGTTGTAGCTTTAATGTTAGTCGCTTGATTGATTCGATGATTCACTCATTTCACTATTTATCTATATGTACATTTTAATCCTGATCATTGATTCATTGACTCGCTCATTTGACTCGCACGTTCACTCGCTTGCTTTTTGGCCCTATTCTTTCATATTCGCTTACTGTACCTGTAATTTTGGTAATCTGTGCGTGGTACAATATTAAACTTAATCAACAATTCGTACACGTCTTCTGATTTATTCACCGTTGGGGACATTATCTAGTAACGGTTATCAGGACGAACAGTATACGAAGTAAAAAGATTATATTGAATACCGACCATTACACACTACAAATTCAAATTAACTTATCATTTTAAATTTAGCTAATGCAATCATTTGAGGAATATTCTGTGTTTGAATTGAGTATTGTTCTCTGATCTGGATGGTTTAGCCGTGGAGCTTTCATCGCTCTTCTGAACGACGTCATCAACACAAACATAAGACCAAAAATCAAACCAATAGGTGATACAACCAAAACAAAGAAGTAAACAATAACAGATTTAAGTTCAGCAAGAACTAATCAAAATCAAGGTGTACAAGACAACGAGTGAACCACATGTAGAGAAATCTGAACATTTCACTTGTACCTGAATTTTTATACTGATGATGTTGTTCAGAAGAATGATGAAAAAGTCCACGACTAAACCATCTAGCTCATAGAAGAAAACTCGATCAAAATCATTCATCTGATTTTGGTAAGCAATGATGGATAGTGGCTAGCAGTGGAATCCAGGACGCGTGTTTCGTCCTTTCTGGGACTCGTCAGCTGGATGTACCTGCATCTCATAGAGTTGATGTCCATTCTGTGACTCGAACCCAGTATCGAATCAAAGTAGTGTTTCATTTGGTATTGTTTGGCTTGTATCTTCCCAGTGAATCATTCATCTAAGTTACAAATCTTCGCTACTATTCTGTATATATATACATATGTACTTGTTCTTATTTTATTTAACAGGGATCAAAAGTTACGTTATCATTATCCATTACGTTCTACAATATTTCATTCAAATACAATGAAATTAATGAATATCAAAAAATTCACTAAAAGTTATGATTTAGAAAGTCATTTAACTTATTATGATACATTTCGTAAATTTCATAATGCACGTAAAAATTTACAATTTGGTGTATTTAGTGATACAGAATTATTAACTAGTAAATTTACAATTACATCTACGGATGATTCTGCTATTGATAGTTGTTGTGATGATGATCATAATGATGATGATGAATTACATAGTTCTATAGATTCATTATATATTAAAAATTATTTCATCAAATCAAATAGAAAAAGAAATGATGTAGTGACGAGTAATAATAATAACAATAATAATAATAATAGTTGCCATGGCAACAGTAATAATCAAGATACTAATCATAGTAACGGTAATAGATTGGAACGGATATCAACTATATCAGATACAAATGTTCATAATAATGAGAAATATGATAATCATTCTAATGAACCATTGAATTCAATCAATATTGAAATGAAAAGATCAGTAATTGAAAATACAAATAAAAATTACACTTCCATTGTATCTAATGAGAAACAGAAAAGTATTGAATGTAATAATACAATACAAGTAAGTGTATGATTGTGTTGTTTCATAGATTATAATAGATAGTAATAATATTTGTATCATTTTAGTAATGTAATTGAATAGATTATGAGTGTTATTCCAATGTGGAAATAGTTTTATTTTACAGTAGACTGATTTTACAATCGTTTTATTTGATTGTCTGAAATTCATTACCTCTTTGATGATAGTATCCTAAACTTTGAGGTATTGCAGTTAGGTCATTAATCTATCCTGGTATAGCGGAGGGTGTGGAGAATCAACTCTCCCTCTCCAAATGCTCTCAAGTGGCTACGTGAATACATTCACTGACAGGGAAGTTCTATTTGCTGCATTCTTGTAGCATAACTGTTGTTTACAAAATTGAGAAGACGAAAGGTGAATGTCCGGCGCTTTAACTGGGAGTTGGAAAACCCTGATTCCAAACCAATTGTACACATGGACTCCAGGATCCTGAAGGAACAAGTGGCGTATTAACCTGTTGTTGGTCACCGTTCACCATGGAACTGCATCTCCAGACTTGGCTCCACTGTCTTGTGGATCAAACGTTTACGTCGAAGGATCTGGGTGTCACTCCCGAAGAAAATCACCTGTTTCAGTCTGGGCACCCGAGTTGTATCACAACTCACACACAAATCAAGTAACTTGTGTGGCGCATATGTATTCGGTGCCCCTTTATACCAATATTCATGTGTTCAGATAAATAAATAAACAAATGGGCGTATTGCCTCGATATTACCTTAAGTCACAAGTAAAGATAGATAAAATTGAACAACATCAAATGAATTTAAGTGTAGAAGAAGGTTTTTGAGAAAAATAATGAATTACTATTTTGCGAACACAGTAATCATCCTATAATATCTCTTATAAACCATCTAGTTCTCACGCTATATAATACATTATAATCTCTACGTACTTACTTACTTACTTACTTACTTACGCCTGTTAGTCCTCGTAGAGGAACATAGGTCGCTCACCAGCATTCTCCATCCAACCCTGTCTTGGGCAATCCTTTCCAACTCTTTCCAGTTCTTATTCATCCTTTTCATATCTGATTCGACTTCCCAACGTAATGTGTTCTTTGGCCTTCCTCCTTTCTGTTTCCCTTCAGGATTCCACGTTAGGGCTTGCCTCATGATGCAGTTTGGTGATTTGCGTAATGTATGTCCTATCCATTCCCATCCTCTATTCCTAATATCCTCTTCAGCTTGAAGCTGATTTGTTCTCTCCCACAGTAGGCTGTTGCTGATCGTATCCGGATTATAAGCTCTATACTTTAATATATCTGAATTCAACTATTTACTTTAAAAATTCAAACTACCACTATCGATAATCATTAGACACTATGAACATTGAAAATCATGAAGATATTTTTTTTTTTAAATCTAATTTCAAAACCCAAACATAAACACACACTAATTCAAAATGATTCTCATTTTAATTTGCTTACTTACTTAATTACTTACGCCTGTTACTCCGAACGGAGCATAGGCCATCAACCAACAATTCCCAACCCACTCTGTCTCACTCTACCTTCCTTTCTAGTTCTATCTAATTGTTATTCATTCTTCTCAATATCTATATTCCATTTCTCGGAGTCATGTACTTTTAAGTCCTCGTCTTCTTCTCTGTTAGCCCTGAAGATTCCAAATAAGGGTTATTCTATAAATTATATAATCATTTTCATTGAAATCTAATTGAAATAAGGTATTATAATGATAATAATAATAATAAACAAACCAAACAATGAATTGAATGTAAACAATCTGACAACTTCATTTAATGATTATTACACTGACTAATTTATATTGTTTATATTGTTCAATGTTATTATTATTATTATTGTTCTCCAAGGCAACGAACACGTAGTTGAAACAAGCAAACAAACAAACAAACAGACAGACAAACAGACAAACAAACAAACAAACAAACAAACAAACAAAACAACCAAGATGTTTGTTATCCAATTTATTTTGTTTAACTAATATACATTATGTACATAATAGAAAGTGGATATTGTATCTATGCCATTTTTATTTCATCTTCATCTTCTTTAGGTCAATTCATTTTGTTATTTATATATTTAAACTATCCACCTACATAATTAGGGAAATTCATTTTATTAGAACAATTTGATAAAAACTTACCATCTTTTTTAAAAAAAAAAACGATGTAATAGTTAATTCAAACTAGACCACCATGAAAAACTTGAAGGTATTAGATGACTGTTTCGTCTTAATGTAAGACTTCTCAGCACTGCGTATCCATGATCAGACACGCGGGATTCGAACCTAGGACCTTCGATCTCATTGAAGATAATGGTGGGGGATGGCGTAATATCATGAGTTGGTTGAAGTTAGACATTAACACTTTTGGATGCCGGCTGATTGAATGTTCTAGAGATTAAGCGTTCATGCACGAAACCGAAGGTCTTGAGTCCGAATCCCGTGGGCAGGATCATGGATGCGCATCGCTAAGGAGGCCCATACTGGGATGAAATGGATTTTCATGGTGATCTAGCCTTAATCGATTGATGAATTTAACTATAAAATTACTAGAACATCTCCACTAAACTTCTTTCTCATAATAATAGAACTCAACGCTCTACACATTTTATAGTTAGGAAGAGATCATTAAGGAATTTAACAGCGTTAACATAAAACCATCAATATTAACCTTGATTACTCAGAAGAGAAAGAAAACTTGGCAAGATTATAATTTATAGACGAACCAATCAGGTATAAGATAACAGTTCTCAGATTTTGGCAGGAAATTGATTCATCCATTCGAATAAATAAAGTTTTGACACTATAGCTGATGTCACTTCATGATGAAAATCTTAAATCTAATTCCTAACCTTAACCATCAACTGTAAATCATCATTCGAATTCCTCACATTGGTTTATAACGTTCATTTGATCCTAGTTATTAGGTAGACTCTCTCAAGGTCAGTCTAGCGTCGCTTGATGGTCGTCTATAAAGTATAGTCTCACCGAAAACGTTTTTTCCTACTAAATAAACATTTAGGTTTCATTATGTTGAAACTATTTCTTTGAAAATTATCGAAAACATTAAGGGTAATTAAAAGTCAACTAAATTTAAATAAGAAATTACTTAGTAAGTGATCTATGTGAATCACGTTTAACCTAAGAATGAGTTTCATCATGAACAGGTCGCTGTCTGTATATTATTAAGATTTAATCAGGATTAGAAAATGAGACCACCTTTGAGCGGCGCTAAGGTGACCTTGAGAATGTACACCTACTGACTAGGGCTAAATGAAGGTTTTCAACCTGTGTGAAGGATAAGGATTGTGATTTATAGTTGATGGTTAAAGATAGTTATTAGATTCAGGGTTTTCATGAAGAACTGATATCAGCTAAAATACCAAGACGCTATTTAGCCGAATGGATGGATGAATTTCGCACCAAAATCTAAGACTTGTAGTCGTAAATCTGATCAGTTCATCCATAACTTATAGTCTCACTGATAAGACACTAGTCCCAAACGTAATACCTTAGAGCTACGATGTTTAAAGTATGTTTATTACACCAAAATTTATAACTTCTGTGAGTACATGGTACATAATCTTAACTAGAAGGCCTTAACTTAAAGAATCAACCAAATAAGGAAATAAGACAATCGTTCACTAATCATATATGAATTGAATCACAATGTCTCAAATTGAATGAATCAAACAATGAGATTATTTGGTTTGACATAATTCGTTTATCAAGTACAGGTTTGTATCTACAACTGTGGTATAATATGTTATGGTCTAAGGGCTGTTTAATGAGTCCAACCTGTTAAATGTAATTTCATCAGTACTAAGTAATAAATAAACATGACACCGAACAATACTCATTGGCTATTCATTTTAAATAAGAAGCTTAGTATAAGAAACCGAATAACCCGGATTCGAACCCTAATGAGAATACCAGTTCACACAAGATTGTAGATATTTCTTGATGATGAATCCCAACAAGCACGAAATCTAGACCTAAGATTTCTTACTGACTAACTCTACTGTATACTGTCTAACAGTTAGAGCTCTTTACTATTGTGCATTACTTATCTTTTCTTATGAATATATCTATACAGACATTGAAGAATATTAATCCACCGGAAGTAAACAATGTTTTAGAATGTAGAAAACATTCTTTGGATCCAAAATCCCTTAAAAATTCTCCTGAAATCTCAAGTGATTCCCAATGTAATCTCAAAGTTGTTGCTCCACCACCAGTGGTAATCTATCGGAGAAGATTTCAGAAGCTTCCATCGAAAAGAATATCAAAGTTTACTGATCGACAAGTAAGTAATATTTTCTTCTTTCTTAACAAAAAAATATATCATTCTCAAATTACAGATTATGTCATTGTTATAACTTGTGCCCTATGTCCTGTTAATGTATAACGTAATGATATCGCCAATTAGAGAACAGTGATTTATCGATCGGACGAATTAAGCATAAGACACATGCGAACAGCCTAGAGTCTTTATCGATCCTGCTTCCCACCTAGCCCTGCCTGTTAAGTCCAGAACATCGATCTCAGCCTCTGCAATATGAATTATGTATTTCAAACATACTCGGTTTATATACCAACCAAACAGACTACATCATACCATAAAATAGGAAACAACATTTGTTCAAGATTTAGCCAAATGTGGGTGTGAATGTAGGAGATAGTAATTGATAGACCAGGTATAACTCAAGAATGGTAAATCGTATAATAATAGTTCATAGGTCAAAATAAAGCTCATAATAAGAGGGAAGTGAATGTGAACAGTTTAGTTATTTAACAATTATACGACAAAAATATACGTATACTATTGGTCCATAAATGGATCCCAAAAGTTACCATTCATTATGCTTATCGGGATATAACAGTAATGAAGTTAGTTGTGGTAATTTTTTGAAATGTTTCGATAAAGATCATACGACAAATGTGTGATTTCTTAATGGTTTATGGATAATGAACAAACACCATGATTGTGAATAAAAAGTTTCTTTTCAAAGAAGTGATGTAATCCAATTAAAGGTTCTTCAAACGAAACACTTAGGACAATTTATTACAGTTTTTAATTCTAGTAATGGTGTAGACTTATAGTCTACTACGTTATTAGTACCACTCTGATAATAGACTTAATCCTAAAATTGTATATTTGTCATGATGTAACTACCTAATCTATAAGATCTTACGTGGATGTCACATCATTATCTACCCTGACTCATTCGTATTGTAACCAGTCATCAATATATGATGAAGAACACAGTTAGACCGGAGATAGGACAATATACTTAATATAGATAAAAGACTGTTACATAAGTAGGAATACGCCTGCAAGGTTGAGCCACGCCATACGACCAATTCGAACTAATTCTATTCATTCTTCCCGCCTTTTTCATCGTTGGACTTTTTACGCGTCAAATGTTGAATATCTGCTTCTCCAATTATCTTGTGTTCAGCTTTGAGGATTGTGTGATTAAGGCCCGATGCCACTACAGTGAGATAAATAAAGTTCTTAACTTATCATAAATAACATTAAGTAAACGGGTATACAAAATAGTAATAAATGCAGAATCAGATCTTCAGTTGCTTACTAAATAGTTCATGTATGAATCAAGCATGGAATTAAGGAAACTCTGAACCTACCTCGATTATTTCCAACTGTCATCTTATCTCAATATGGTGCATGCAATGTTGAGTCACGTAGATTAGTAGACATACTGCAACCTAATCGAAAAGATTCGATCCTCACTAAGGACGACCTAATATACATGACCTAGTGATTAATCAATTGTAAAAAATAATATCATTAATAAATACAGTAAAGAATTTTCAACAGAAAATACACACAGTTACAAAAACATTCTTATTTCATGAGTATTCAACTTGAGATTATTGAAATATAATGTGTAAAACATTTAAATCACTGTAACAGTTGTGATCAACCTACTGTGGGAGAGAACCAACCAGATCCCAACGGAGGAAGAAATAAGGAAGAAGCACTGCAAGTGGATAGGACATGCATTGAGGAAAACACCCAACTGCGTCACAAGACAAGCCCTCACATGGAATCCTCAAGGCCAAAGGAAAAGAGGAAGACCAAATCACACATTAAGCCGGGAAATGGAAATAGACATGAGAAAAATGAACAAGAATTGGATGGAACTAGAAACGAAGGCCCAGGACAGAGTGTATTGGAGAATGCTGCTCTGTGGCCTATGCTTTATTAGGGGTAACAGGCGTAAGTAACAGTTGTGATGATGTCATTCAGAAGAACGATGAAAGCTCAATGATCAAACTATCCAGCTCAAAGAACAAAACTTCATCAAATGTAATAGATATCATTCATTCTCATTCATAATTATTTGTGATCAGTCTTACTCTCATGATATCCATTACCATTTAGCTTGATATATTTAGTGTAAAATCTCTACAGTAATTGCCTCTCGTATTTTTCAAAGAACAAAAGGGAAGGAAAATACACGAACTCTTATGATGATACTTTTTGAGTTTCTCAATTCATTAGATTGTAAACTTCTTGTGAAAGCGCGTAAGTACATATGATTGACAGAAATATCTAGTTATAAATGGTATTAAATTCGTGCTTGGGAAAAAAATGGTAACCTAAGTGTTTGAGCTGGTCATTATGATCATGAAATGGTTACATTTGACGAGCCTAAATAAAGGAAGTAATATTCGATATCTATTTTATAATTCCCCAGTACTTTACATTTATAACCATTTCATGAAGATAACTGAAAACTTTGTTATCTTATAGACTTGATCATTTTCAACAAGAAAAAATCAGCTATCTCAGTAATAATTAACATTCAGTTATCTTTCCATTGTCGAAAAACGTAAACATGAAACGAGTTTTTAAGTAAAGATGAATAGTGGCTAACATGACTCACTAGCCAAGTGAACAACGTGATGAAGTTTGAAGCGAACTGAGTTCGAGGCTCAAGGTAAACATCAACTCTGAGATGCAGGTATATCCAGCTAACGAGTCCCAAATAGGACGAAACGCCCGTAAAACTGAATTCCACCGTTAGCCACTATCTATCTTTGCTTAAAAAGCTTGTGACTTAAAGCTTTATCTAGACAGTCTGCACAGTATGCACAAATGCCAATAACAGACTGATCATTTGCAGTCCTGAACATCAATGGAAAGATACAAATAAAACAACATCAAGTGAATGAAACAACTTGGTAATAATATTTCTTTCTCTAACCCACCCCCCAGGCCCCAACTTCACACAATAATGTTATTGTTTTTCCTGTTTATCGCATTACGGCTTACATATTTTTGCTATAAATATATGGTAAAAACACTAAACTCCAACCAAATATTACGTATTTACTTACTTATTCACTCCTGTTATCCCTTATATCGAAGCATGGGCTGCCTACCTACATTCTCCATCCAAATCTGTCCTTCACTCCAACCAAACATAACCAACTTTTTTCAATGAAACATTTACTGCTCTACACATGATTACGGATTTTTTTCTATTTTAAAATCTATTTGTTCTCAAATATTGAAGCAAAAATATTTATGAATATATTTGTGAATTGGTTGAAGTTAGATATTAACACCGTTAGATGCCAGCTGGCTTAGTGGTCTAGAGGTTAAGCGTTCGCGCGCGAGACTGATAGGACCTGCGTTCGGACCTCGCTAGGCAGGATCATGAGTGCGCAGTGCTGAAGAGTCTCGTACCAAGATGAAACTACCATCTTCAATTTACTCATGATCTCAACTATTAAAATTACTATAATATTTACAAAAACCCCTTCTGATAATCATCATCCTATGATCACTAGTGACTGGTTTCAAGACGTATATTCTGGAGTTCCGGTGAGAAACGGTGACCAATGGAGTTCAACCAGATGTATTGTGAGATAATAACTCATTGATGAGAATGGTGAATGTGTCGCTTAATTTCGTGAATTAATTGAAGTTAGATATTAACACCGTTGGATGCCGGCCTGCTCAGTGATCTAGTGTTCAAGCGCTCGCATGCGAGACTGATAGATCCTGTTTTCGCATCTCGGTAGGCAGGATCGTGATTACGCACTACTGAGGAGTCACATACTAGGACGAAACTGCTCTCCACGTTTTCCATGTTGGTCTAGGTTCAATTGACTCATGAATTCAATTACTGAATGCACTTCTCTTGTTATGCGGTAAAATGAATCATAAAATTAATGAATCCTATTAGTAAATCTTACATTAAAAAGAAACACAACCAATATGAAAGTTATATTTTGTTGTTTGTTTGTTTTTCTGCTTGCATATGTATATTGTATGATTATTCACTTGATGTTACATTACTTATATCTTCCAATTGTTATTTAAGACTACAATGGATCAGTCTCTCTTGTTCTCATTCTCTTACTGACCTATGTATATATATCCTGTGTGCACACACACACACACACACACTGCCTTTGTAACTGTTTATATTCCATAGATGATTAAGCTGTAAAATTGTGTTTCATTTAAATTAACCAGAGAAATTGATCTACATCAATATGAATTCTTATTTAAACCATATGGAATAAGGGATCATTTGAATTTAACCTACATGATAGTTGAATAGATGTTTTGTTTTCTGCCTTTTTTTCTCTTTTTTTCGATAACAACAACAACAATAAAAAGAAAAGAAAACTTTATTACATAATGTATCCAACATGGTAACAAATACAGAATACACCTTATAATAATGATAACTTTACGCCGCCAATTTTCAATTTGTTGTTGTTGTTTTCTTCCGGATATAGTTAGTGCAATAGTTGTTCGTTGGACTAGTCTTTGTTGTTTTAGACTTTCATAGGTCTTCTATAATTATATACAATAAAGATGAATTATGTACTTATATAAGGGTACGGTAGAGGAGGTGGGGTTGAATGCGTGATTGTTTTCTGTTCAAAACAGTTCTATATTTTAAACTTTATAGGACTATTAAAAGTTGAAAACTACTGACATAGTTATTTTATTGTTGTTTACAGATTCCTTGTAGTATAAAATTATAATTAGCAGTTAGGCGTTCATGAGCGAGACTGAAAGCCCTGGGTTTAAATCCCACGAGATGGATAGTGGATGAGCACTGCTGAAGAAACGACCGTCTAGTGTTTTCGTGTTTCCAATGGTAGTCTGATATCGATCGATTTATGATGTCAATCAAAACTTATTAATCTCCACAACCCTTTACTGAAAAGTAGAATAATATAAAAGGTAGTTTGACGTAAAGGCAAGGATCGGCAAAGCAAGGGCCGCATTCCTAAAATTGAACAACATACGGCACTCAAAACAATTGTCTTCAAACCAACATCAAAGTTACAATCTTCAATACGAACGTCAAGACAGCTCTACTGTACGAAGCTGGAACATGAACAACTACTACAACCATCATCGAGAAGGTACAGGTATTTATAAACAATTGTCTACTTAAGATATCCAATGTCTGTTAGCCCGATGCAAACACCAACAACCTACTGTGAGAGAGAACAAACCAGCCTCCAGCTGAAGAGGATATGAGAAAAAGACGATGGAAATGGATAGGACATACATTACGGAGATCACCAAACTGCATCACGAGGCAATCATTAACTTGTAGTCGTGAAAGGAAGCAGAAAAGCGGAAGGCCAAAGAACACATTACGTTGGGAAATAGAAGCAGATGTGAAAAGGATGAATAAGGACTGGAGAGATCTAAAAAGGATTGCCCATGATAGGGTTGGATGGAGAATGTTAATGAACGACCTATGCTCCTCGACGAAGAGTAACAAGCGTAAGTAAGTAAGTTAGACTTTTCATTCAACTTTTACATCCATCTAACATCATCACTGTTTTCTTTTGAAATTTCGTTCTTAGAGATCTGCTAATTGTAAAAATTTGGAAGAAATAAAGTCCTCTGTAAATAAGACTGAAAATACAATGAACACTACTCTAACTGTTGATAATCAATTACAGACAGAAATGAAACAGTCAAACATAACTTTATCTAGTGAGAATAGTCATAGTAATAACTCACAAGTGATTAAAGTAACCTCTCAGTCGAATATGTCTACTTCTGATTTAATCTTACCAGAACAAAATAAACTTTCTTTACAAAATGTTACAACCGTGAAGCAATCCAAATTGGCAAACTTGGAAATAATCGTTCTATGAAATCATTACAGAGACCGCAACACTTCTCAAATAATAAAACATCGTCATCATCATCATCATTAATATCTATTTCACAGAATTCAAAAATGAGACTACCTCAATATGACGGTACTACAACAAGTCTGCCAGTATCACCGATCGTATCTTCTTGTTCTAATGAAATGAAACATTTTGTAAATGATAAACTTATTCCTAACTATTCTCATTGTATATCATCGTCTATGATATTGAAACCAACAACAAATCATATCAATCAATCTTGTATTTCTAACACATTGAATTCCTCTGAAATTCATCGTCTAAGAACTATATCACATAGTCCAATGAAATCTCTTTCCAATACAACATCAAACAATCAAAAAGATTTTAAAACAAACTTTATTTCATCATCATCATCATCATCATCTCCTTCTTCTTCTTCTTCTTCAAAATCATCTCCAACATCACCAATTTTACCATTAAATACTAACATTTCTAACATCATATCTAATGACAATTGTAGTTTACAATCATCAGTGGTTGATAGTAAAACTATGTTCACTGAAAAGATTCCAAAGATCCCTCTTCCTACTGCTACTCCTTCTTGTTCTTCCTCTTCTCCGTCTTCTTCTTCTTCTTCTTCAAATACGACAGCTATGACAGATTCATCTTTGAAAAAGTTCAGTAAAATTATTAATAAACCTAAAGTTCATTCAGAGAAATTACATAGACGTACAATTTATAATAATCAAATGACAGAATATAATAAACTTACTCCTTTATTATCTATACCACCACCTATACCACCACGTACTACATCAAGATCACAATCAAATCAAGGAAAAATGATAATACTAAAGTCGAAATGTCTTAGTGTTCATAATAGTCCTTATATGTCTAATCTAAATGAAGTGAATAGTCTTAAAGATACAAGCAGTTGTTATCATAATTACTCTTTAAAACTTCATTCATCACCTGTAAATCATGGTAAATTCAATATGAATCAATCACAAAATGAATCTTTGAATGAACTAAACAATGTAAGTAATAATAATAATAATAGGAAATTATCATCTTTATCTTCACAATGGAAACGTCCAATTCAATCTAAAATAGCTACAGCTGTTGAAACACTTTATAAACGTCCTATAGAACATTCAAGTATTTCAACAACATCAATATCATCATCATCATCACCATCATCATCTTCAGGGATTATTTTCACAACTCCTCATGATGATCATCATTTAACTGATTCATCAAAATATATTACTAATAAAAGATGTCATAAACAGTATAACAATAAACAGAATATAAAGGATATGAATAATGAACAAATAGAGCATAGATTAATATATTCAACAAATTATTGTAATCATACAATAGATAATACAGATTTTCATGCTCAATTAAATACAACTACTACAATAACAACATCAATAACACCAATAAATGAGAATAAATTAATTGAAACTTCATATCCACATCAACAATGTGCATTACATTTACAAAAATATTCTCATTCTTATCTTCCACAACATCACCATCATCATCACCACCACCACCAGCAGCACCACGACCACCACCATCACCAGCAACAACAACAACAACAACCATTGTATCATTCTCAACATTCACAACTGTTCCAACCAAATTTACATTATCATCATCATCATCAGCAGCAGCAGCATCAGCATACAGTCAATGATAATCCCACTAGTCATAATATAACAATATCTGATCCATTCATTTATACTAAACATCCATCATCAATTTATACAATAAACAAATTATTAAATAATAAATAAATTAAAACAAAAAAAACCAATGACACTATTCAACTATCATGTCAATATAAACTAATGTCATGTACAGTGTTATGAGTGTATCATTTAGTTGGATAATAAAGAGTAGGTAGGCGGGGGACTAGGGTAATGTACACAATACACATAGGTGATATTATGAAGAAAGAGAAGAAGAAAAATAAGAAGAAGAAGAAGGAGAAGAAGAAGAAGAAGAAGAAAAGGAACAGAATGACACTACCTATGTTTGTTTGTTCGTTTGTTTTTTCACCTTACCTATTATGACCATTTCAATAAAACAATCAATCAATAGTAGGTACTATACTACTAAATGATTACTGTACAGTTGTATAGTAATGGATTAATGTTTATTAATTTATATTTCTTTTCATAATGTATAATCTAATGTATGATTTTGAGATAGGAGAGAAGATTTATAGCTCAGGTGAATGATTTTGATGAAGTTTTGTTCTTTTTCTATTGAATTAGATAATAGTTCCATGATCAAACTATCTAGCTCAAAGTACAAAATCGATGTCTGATTAATGAACATAATAATACTAATAATAATAATGTATAATATAAACATTAATGTTATGACTTTTTGTGTCCGACTTTTTATCAAGTGATTTATCCACCAATCAATCTTAGCACTGTGCCAAACCAATGACGTTCGACTGGTATGAGCAGCCTAGCGTCCTTATTGGTCCTATGTCCGCTTAGCTCATCCACTTGGGTCCAGAACACCAAATACCAGCTTCCACTATGCGAATCAAACCGAATCATTTATTTCAGACATACTGGGTTTGTATATCAACCAAACAGATCGCAACGCACCGTAAAATAGGAAATAACATTTGTACACAATAAAGCCAAAAAGTGACTGTGAACGTGGGAGGTAGTAGTCAATAAACTGAACATAACTTAAGAACAGTAAATCGTACAATAATAAATTTGTTATAACGTGAAAAATATGCTGCGGATTAAGGGTAGGGAATTACTGATCGGACCAAAGACGCACAAACACGTAGAACAGCCTAGGGTTCTGATTGGTCTCGCTTCCCTATCTAACCCAGCCAGTTGAGTCCAGAACACAAGTCACAGCCTCGGAGATATGAATCATCATATTTCAAACATACTTTGTTTATATACCAGTCAAGCAGACCACAACGTCCCATAAAATAGAAAATAACATTGTACAATAATGGCCAGTAGGAAAATGACACGTTAAACAAGTATTGACCAATAAGATGATACCATTTCATGTCCAAGGATAGCATTAGGCTTAACAGGATAATTCTTGGGATATTTTCCTGAATATCCCAACAAAATTATAGGTCAAAATAAAGCTTATCATAAGAGAAATATAAAGATACATAATCTAATTATTGAATAGTTATGCCATAAGAATATATAGATAACATTAGTCCATTAATAAGTCTCAGACGTTACTCGTAATGTGATCTTCACTAGGATATAACAATTAAATAAACACAAATTAAAACTGTTCAATAAATTCACTTTGTATTGTTTTAATTGTATCTTCTTATGGTTGTTTTAGGACTGCAATTGATCAGTCTCTTATGTGCATACTGTGTGGATTGTCTCGATATTACATTGATTTACAAACATTATAAGCAAAGATGGATAGTGGCTAGCAGTGGAATCCAGTTTGACGCGAGTTTCGTCCTATTTTGGACTCGTCAGCTGGATGTAACTGCATTTCGAAGTTGATTTTCACTCTAAGACTCGAACTCAGTACCGTTCGCTTCAAACGCCATCACTTTATCGACTTAGCTACTGAGTCCTCGTAACCACTGGCTTGTGCGTTAGGGTGAAGTTCAATTCACTCTATATTATCACAAGGGGTTTGTAGAGATTTTAGAAATTTCACTGATTGAAATCATGAGTCAATTGAAGCTAGACCACCATGGAAAACCTGGAAGCACTGGACGGCCGTTTCGTCTTAGCATGGGACTCCTCAGCAGTGCGCATCCACAATCCCGCACCCCGCGAGATTCGAACCCAGGACCTATCAGCCTCGCGCCAGGCGTTTAACTAATTAGATCACTGAGCCGGCATCCAACGGTGTTAATGTCTAACTTTAACCAATCCACGAAGTTGCGCCACCGTACACCATTGTCTTCAGTGAGTTGATATTTCACAACAGACCCGGTTGAACTCCACTGGTAACGACTTCTCACTAGAACTACAGGGGTATCTCTTGAAGTCAGTCACTAGTGAGCAGATGATTATTATCAGAATGGGTTTTGTGGAGATTTTAGAAATTTCACAGGTTGAAATCATGAGTCAATTGAAGCTAGACCACCATGGAAAAACTGGAAGCACTTTGTATTGTTTTACTTGTATCTTCTTATGGTTGTTTTAGGACTGCAATTGTTCAGTCTTTCTCTTGTTGGTATATGTTTATACTGTGCATATTGCCTCGATATTGCCTTAATTTACAAGCATTATTATAGTATTGAATTGTAAAAGAAAGTTCAATAGAGTCATTCGTATGACAAAGTAAATTAAGCTTGAAGTAGAAAATAATGACATATTTCTCATAATATTTTTTCCTTTAAAACACTTTCTAATGATTTTCTAGATCCATAGAATTCTTTTACAATTGCGTCTTGAACGGTAGAGAAAAGGTGAGATGATCAGAAGTCTTGTTTTAACATTGATTAATGTATGGAAAATAAGACAATTTACAAGTTGACTGGTAACTCCAACATTCTGGAAACTTCTGGAAGAGTTCTAGATTTCGTAACAGAGTAGTCTGACAGAGTTACTGTCCGTCTTAAGCCTCATTAAAAGAAGAGGGTTTGGAACGGGGTCAGTAACCCGTCCTGTAAAAAGAAATCTTCCTAAAAACACTCTAAACTTGATAACACCTCAATGATAACATAATATATTCACACAATGTTATTACTGTCACCTCGATTAACGGTGCGAAATCCTCCCACTATGCATGTCAATCACACGATTCATTGTATTACTATAATGTATGATTATAACTTGACACACTTTACTCCAAATCATTCTGATCTTTATTAGATGATCTCTCTAATTTACAAATAACACAATTTTCAAATATGAATGTTATAACCGATGCAACTGTTCACCAATTTCAACAAATAATCCTGTCAAGTTCAGTAATGTGTGGCTTATTTTAGTCATTGTAGAATATCACAATCATTATGGAGTTATAACTGAAGAGCCTAATGATGATGAAGTTATTGAAAACAGTAGTTCATTCTCAAATATTCTTTATCTTAAAAAAACCCACTGATCTCTTGAATTATTCAATATAACTCTTGTTACTTACTTAACTTAGGCACTAGTTAGTAAATACCTCCTGCATCTATATTCTTTACGCGTTTATAACTTCTAAAACTTTAGGTAATAATTACTGGATATCTAATTTCAATCGTAGTTGAAATTATTTTTCGCTATCTATTGAACTACTTGTAAGTAGTTACATAAATCTCAAGAAAATCTTTAACGCCATAGCTGTTTTTCTCTTTCAAAATCATATGAGTGTAGTACGCTTCTCGTTCGACACTACGGAGTTCCTGAGAAGATTGTCAACATTATCCGGAACTTATACGACGGACTACAGTGCGAAGTCGTGCATGGAGGACAGCTGACAGATGCATTCCAAGTAAGGACTGGAGTCAGACAAGGCTGTCTACTCTCCACCTTCCTCTTTCTTCTGCTGGTCGACTGGATTATGAAGACCTCGACATCCGAAAGAAAACACGGAATACAATAGACAGCTCAGAACCATTTGGACAATTTGGGCTCCGCAGATGACCTAGCCCTTCTATCGCATACACATGAACAAATTCAGATGAAGTCAACTCGTGTAGCAGCAGTCTCTGCATCACTAGGCCTCCGTATACACAAGGGGAAAACCAAGGTCCTCAAATACAGCACGGCGAACAGCAACCCAATCACACTTGATTGTGAAGTTCTGGAAGAGGCAGAATCTTTCACGCACCTGGGATGCATCATCGATGAACAAGGAGAATCAGATCAAGACATAAAGGTGAAGATTGGAAAAGCAAGAGCCGCCCGCATTCCTACAATTGAACAATAATATGGAACTCAAAACAACTGTCTTCAAATCAACATCAAAGTCACAATCTTCAATACGAACGTCAAGACAATTCTACTGTACAGTGATGAAACATGGAGAACCATTACAATTATCGTCAAGAAAGTACAAGTATTTATAAATGGTTGTGTACACAAGATACTCAACATCCATTGGATGCCTCTTTTATACTAATATTTATGTTATCAGAAGGGGTTTGTGGAGATTTTTTAGAAATTTTTACAGATTGAAACCATGAGTCAGTTGAAGCTAGACCACCATTGAAAACCTGGAAGCACTGGACGGCCGTGTCATCCTAGTATGGGACTCCCCAGCAGTGCATATCCATGATTCGCGCGCGAAACCAGTAGGTCCTGGGTTCGAGCCCTGCGTGGTGTGGGATCGTGGATGCGCACTGCTGAGGAGTCCCATACTGGGGCGAAACGGCCTTCCAGTGCTTCCAGGTTTTCAATGGTGGTCTAGCTTCAACTGACTCATGATTTCAATCTGTGAAAATAATATTTATGTGTTAAAATAAATATATAAATAAGATTATTCCGTCTAAATTTACTAGATAACCCAAATATTCCAAATAATCGATCCGTTGGCTACTCGCACCAAATTTGAAATCCTTAGTGTTTAAGCGGTCGGATCTCATGCATTTTGCTCCTTGAACAATAATAACCAAGTATTACAACAGCGATGACTTAATACAATGGATTTATATTGTTCAACTGATCCTCTCGGTTTTGAATAATCAGGTCTAAATTAATTGAGTTTAGCATCATATATCATTCATCTTTAGAACTATATTTATGAATCAAAACTTTCAATTGACGTTGCAAGATATTCTACACAAAAGACACTTACCTTCGGTAGATTGATTGATTATATTAAGCTGAATAAAACCAAGTAAATTACATTTTATGATGATTCATTCGTTCAGAATTGATTGATTACAAAACAATTGAATTCTATTTATTGTATCAATGCCTTGAAGTCAAATCTAACTTTCTTGATTAGGACTAGCCAGTTCAAATCTCTACCGTACATATAATGAGTATAGATTAGGTGTTTGCTTATTAAACGTCACTTGATTACTTAGATGAATTCAGTTAACTTAATATCTTGAGACTGAATATAAACTAGTATCACACAGTCTAACTGCTTATTGAAGCATAATATAGATAGTTTGGAGAAGTTCACAGAAGTCTCACGATACAGATTACGAGCTAGAAGGTACACGTCACTAGGTTGTACCTCCAGTTTTGCAGAAAATGATAATCCTATTGATATTCGAGTCTGCATTACTCAACTTTACATTCCAACACGTTACTACTGAGCTTCTCGGACTTCGATTGACTTCCGTCCCAGGTTTACTAACCACTGATTTTGTTAATATCTTGCTCGTAATCAATATGAAAGTCGTCACACTTCATTAGAATAAATTCAAGTTCATTTAACTTAAATAAATATATGACATGC